AAAAAAAAAAATAATAAAAAAAAAAAAATAAATAAATATACCGACGAATTGAATACCTCCTTCTTTTGGGAAGTCGGTCAAAAAGAAGTGTGTGTTTATGCTTTATTATAATAGTACAGATAGAAGATAAATAGTTCCGGTAATATGATCACCGGGTCAAATAAATGTAGCATTCTCTACTTCGAACATAAAATTACGATGTTTATGACCGATCGGAGGAGTTTTTTTTTTCAATCAAATATTGAAGTGAAGAAAAAAACTTCTAAGAATCAACTAACAAAGGAATCAATATTGACCTATTACATGACACGGACCTTGTTTAAAATGTCAAATGATTTTTTAGTTGAATTTTCCTTATATTAATGGTCGTTTGATTTTGAAAAGAGTATAGATAGTTTTGTTTTTTAATAAATAAGCAAAGAATGTAAAAAAGACCCGAATTATCGTCGCGCGATTTGCTAAACTATTTAACTACGCCGTAGTCTTTGACTCCAAAAATTTATCAAATTATGCCGTAACAAACATAAAAAAAACACAGACGAATTGAGTACCTCCTTCTTTTGGGAAGTCGGTCAAAAAATGAAACCCTGCAAGCACTAACTTTCGGGAAAAAAAATTTCAAATTCGGTCTACCACGGGAGGAGTTATGCCGTAACTCACATTAAAAAAAATATACAGACGAATTGAGTACCTCCTTTTGGAAGGTCTGTCAAATATAGCTTTTCGCTTTTTCAACTATAACGTAATGTTCACCTATTTGCCTAATTTCATTAATACCCGGTTTACACTTCGCCAGTATACTTGTTACAGTATACAGTTGCGACAACCAGTCATAGATTGTTTGGACTCACTGGCGCCAGTTGATTGACAGTTATTGACCGCTACCAACTATACGGGACATGTGTAAACCGCGCCTAACTGAGGTACAAAGTTTCGTTTCATCTATACTAATATTATAAAGAGAAAAAAAAATTGTACTTGATTCACGTAAAAACTACTGGGACGATTTTAAAAATTCTCTCGCCATTAGAAAGGTAATTTATCTGTGAATAACATAGGCTATATTTTTTGGATGAAATCGCGAGCAACAGTGTTCCATATATAAAAAAATAACACTATCAATTGAAAGAATAACATCTTGTCAATTTACTAGTTTTAAACAATTAGACTTTTTGTATAATGACCAAATTGTGAGTTTGACTGCAACATTAACATTTCCAGATTTCTCGATCGTATCGAAATTGACCTTAGCATTGTATTGAGGACAAATATAATAAAATGGCGTCAACTGGTAACTATAGTCCTATTAATTTATCTGACCCGGTTAGAATAAGTCAAACAATGACATCACATCGGCACTCCTTTTTTAATATCATGTCACAAAATCCTTGTACTTTAAATGTCTATGTTATTTGTCCATGTCTTGTATGTTATTTCCTGAACTAAATTCAATAACAAAGCTTTACCGGGCCATAATTGTTAGTCGCACTTAGTTATTAGATAAGGCTGTTTGCATATATGTCAATACGTCATATGTTGACTTGTCAACAATCTATACTATCTATACTAATATAATAAAGCGTAAACACACACTTCTTTGTTGCCTAAGATGTCAGCAATTACAGCACATTTTTGAATAATCCTTTTTTTAATAAAAAGCCCTACACTGACGTTACGCTTTAGGCTATAATTTTCCATTAAACTTAGAGGGTAAATATTTTGGTTAAAAGCACTAATGTGGGAAAGAGACCATAAGTTGCTGCCAACATCAAGAAAGAAAGATTGCTAAGGTTTGTCATGTCAAGTCATTTAACATTTGCTATTGATAATTTGACAAATGTAAACAATAAAATAAAATTTTCATAGTTTCATGCGGATGAAGCCGCACGGGAACACCTAGTTAGTTGGTAATCTCGCATGTCAAGTATTCTAAACTCTATACTTCATATTATACTAATATTATAAATGCGAAATTTTAGATTGATGGATGTTTGTTAGAGTTTGTATCCGAAACGGCTGAACGGATCTCGATGAAATTTGACATATATTTAGAGCATAGTCCGGAAAAACTAATAAGCTACTTACTTTTGGCATCGCTAGAAAAAGCGCAAAGTAATAAATAATCGCTACAAAGGTAGGAAAGACCGTATTGGTTTGATTTTATATAACTAATGTAAAAAATAATGTTTTTTAGTTAAGAGATTTTTATGTGGTAGAGAAGGTAAGGAGTAAAAGGTTAGCATAGTATGGACATGTTATGAGGGATGAATCTCATGTTACAAGGAGAACGTTAGTTATGAATGTGGAGGTACACCGGTAGAGGTAGACATAGAAAGAGATGGATGGATTGCGCGAAAGGTGACATGATGAAGGGAGTGATGACTGAGATGACGGATGATAGAGTTATGTGGAGGACAAAAACCTGTTGCCCCACTACGGGAGTAGGATAAGAAGGAAGATGATGATGAGTTATAGTTTTTTACCTGAGGTTCTGTAACTGGAGGTGGTGTTATAGGGTTGTTTACATCCCTTGTGTCAGGCGGGAGACAACACGTGTCCATGTATGACGGACAAGGTCCATCTCGTACACTGAAATTATAATTTATTAATATTACTGTCTGTTTAGTGTACTTTAAGAGAGGGGTTGCAAACCACTGGCACTGGCAAAAAAATAATTCGACCGCATTAAACATTTATTTAAAAATGTCACTGATGCATAAATGTTCGCCACCCCTGCCTTAAAGTGTTTGCCATAAAGGCGTAAATATCTGTCAGGGATCACATAGCATGCCAGCTATTGGAACAATGTGTTTACGCATTCCAGTAAAATGAAAATAAGATCGTATGAGATGAAACTTGTGAATATTAATCAAAGACATATAAAAAATATAGACGAGGTAATAAACAATTTTTTTTTCATCGGTACTTTCTCTGAAAGGTTGATTATAATTTGTCTAAATAAGATAGATTAGTTTGATAAATGACGCATATGAAGTATCGAATTCAATTTATATGAAGGTAAATGCCATACTTATTAGACAGGTATCGTAGTGACGAAACAAACACTCATAGCGGACAATTTTGAACTATCGATATTCGATATAGAAACTCAACTAAAATTATAGTGTAGAGAATTTAGCGGTGGCAGAAATAATAGCGAAATACAATTCGACTATGTACGGCTGTAGTAGTAATAAACATTTATTTACTCTCATTATTTGTTATGGTCATTATTAATTTGAGAAAACAGTGGTTTTTTTTTTAGTTCATAAGTTATAACTATAAATCTATCGATTCCAACTTCTATAAGAATAAAAATCGAAAATCGATAAGATTCATGACTGATTTTACACAACCCATCCCTACTAAATTTGAAATGAATTGTCAAACTAATCTAAATTATTTAGACAAACTATAGTTGTCAAGTTTAGCCATCTCTTGTATTGACTTGTATAAAAACATTTTACAAAACTAGAGGCTCCATCTTTTATTACAAAATAAAGTAAAAATAAACATTTAAATATGATAAAATAACACATTTTGACAATTAATTTATAGACATGTAGTTTTGAGGATTTATCAATAGATAGCGTTAGTGGTTTAAAAAGGTTCAAGTGAAGTGTCAACTATGCCTCTTCTAGTATATTTTTTGAACATCTTTGATGTTAAATTCTTTGTAACATCCTATATACTGATGATATATTAACAACATACCGTATATCAATGATGCCGATACCGTCAGTGATGACGGAGTTGTTAGCGTTGCAGAGATAGTATCTGACGCACTCGCCAACACGGCCATCGTCCGTCTTACAACTTGTATCCACAGCTTAAATAACACTTATTAGTTAGCAAATACACCAAATTGTACCCTATAACATCAGGATAAGGTAACAAATCGAATGATACCTTATTCACAAACAACTTTGACTAATCTATCTCACAACTTTTGTGTGATTGTCGATTGTTTCGCAGTCAATTCAACTGTCTAGTTGTACAACTAGAAATCCTCCTCCTCCCTCCATAAGCTTTTTTTATTTTTTTTATAACATAAGGTGGCAAACGAGCAAGCAGCCACCTGAAATCGCCAAAATGGCGAAACGACCGCTCCCCATAGACATCCGCAATTGCAGATGCGTTGCCTACCCTTATCCGACGGAGGAGGAGTCCCACATAAAGAGGATATTTCCCCATCCTATGCGTCTCCTCCACCGTCAAATACACGTTCCCTTTCCATCCTATTCTAAGGAGAGAATAAGGATGGGAACGAAAAGGGACTAAAGTCGACACTCCGGCACCTCACTCATCAGACTGTACGTGGAATTTGTCCCACTTGACGTCTGTCTTCTGTGTGGTCATGGTATTTCATCGGTCGAGCCGACCCATTCGTGCAAAGATGTTAAAGCGGGCTCTACCACTGTCTCTTCCGTCTTTACCTTTGTAGACATTCAATCTCTTTCCACACGAGTAACAAAATGGTCAACAAGAATAAATCTTACGTTTAGCGATTCCCGGTACTAAAGTAGACGGCTGTACCGACTTGGCTGTGGTAGGGTTGCCGAAGATCTGCTTGATGACAGCATCCAGGTCTCCGGTGCCATCCTGAGCCCCACACAGGGTCAGCAGACATATGGACAAATATAGTCGCAACATCTGTATAAAAGGCGAAATTACAAATTAAAACAAAATTATGTAAGCCTTATAGTATTAGCCTAGAGTAGCTTATGTGTATTTCCAGACTATCCGCTACATCTATACCAAATTTCATCGAAATCCGTTTAGGCTACAAACTCTAACATCCATCCATCTAAACTTCCATTTATAATATTAGTATAAGTGTGATAAATACGTCGGCATTACAATTCCTATACTCGTGCACGTATAACATTATTTATCTTTACCAGACAAAACCATCTCGACTATGAAACAGGTTTTTAAATGTCAATCGTCATAAAAACACATCACTATAAGGATGGAGGATCAAAAACCTTTGTCATTTCATTCAAGAAAACCGGACATTTGTCAAGAACGAGAATTTAGTTTAATATATCCCGTAACTCAGAGGGGTAAAGACCAAGGATCTCCATTTTTTTTTTAACTAATAACATAAGGTGTCAAACGAGCAAGCGGCCACCTGAATCCGTCAAAATGGCGGAGCGACTGCTGCCCATAGACATCCGCAATTACAGATGCCTACCCTTATCCGACGGAGGAGGAGACGCACATAAAGAGGATATTTCCCTACCTATACATCTCCACCGTCAAATCCACTTCCCCTTCCCATCCTTTAAGATAAGAAAAGGGTGGTAAAGAGAAATGGACTTAAATAAGGCCTCCGGCACCACACTCATCAGATGAAACACGGAATTGCTTCCATTTGACGCCTGTCTTCTGTGTGGTCGTGGTATTACTGGGGGCGAGCCCTGCAGTGCTAGGATGTTTAAGCGGGCACTACCACTCTTAATTTAATACCAATTCTATTTTTTCTCTATACTAATGTTATAAAGAGGAAATATTTGTATTTTTGTATGTATTGAAATAACTCAAAAACTACTGAATCGATTTAAAAATTTCACCGTTAGAAAGCTACGTTATCAGTGAATAACATACATACATTTTTTATTTCTCGCGGACGAAGTCTACAGCAATAGCTAGTAAACAGTAGAAGACTGTCTGGGAAGTCCTGCCAATCAAGTTTGCCGATTATCTTACTTCTTACTTCATGCTTTATGTTATAAATGCGAAAGTTTAGATGGATGTTTGTTAGAGTTTGTAGCCTAAACGGCTGAACGGATCTCGAAATTTGGCATAGATGTAGAGGATAGTCTGGAAGAACAAATAAGCTACTTACTTTTTCATTCCACGTGACGGAGTCGCGGGCGAAAGCTTGTTAATAAATGAAAATGTATAAAACGGCGCCATATTTTTACTTCGTAACTCTTAAATTTAAAAAACAATAATATTAAATCTAAAATGTTTTTAATTATTTTTAGTAGGTCATTGACAAGGACATGTTTTTTCAAACGAATTACATACACATTACATAACCTCAAAATATATTACCCTCCTATCGGACGGGCAAATCAGCATAATTGTCTTCTTCCGTAAGCAGTTACCCTTCCGTTTTTGTCGGAAATGTTTTACTGTAGAATTTTTAAGATAAAGTTAAATTATTTTAAAAAATATATATTTTAAAGTTATGAAAGTTATTGGTTACCGTAATTTGTTGATTATCGTTATATAGAACTAGCGTTCGCCCGCGACTTCGTCCGCGCGGTTTAAAAAAAGCAAGTAGCCTGTGTATTCTTCCAGACTATCCTCTACATCTATGCCAAATTTAATCGAGATCCCTTCAGCCGTTTAGACTACAAACTCTAACAAATATTCATCCATCTAAACTTTCACATTTATAATATTAGTAAGATAAGATTGAATGCCTATATTCTATGTGGTCATGGTAATATATTTGTAACTAGCTTTCGCCCGGGACTCCGTTAGTACGGAAATAAAAAACAAAATAAGATCCGCTACACCAATTTTATAATAATAAAATATTTTAATCCATTCAGAGGGTACAGTTGATTAAATGAGAAAAAAACATCCTAAAACTAAGATAAATATGAAACCCTCCAGCGAAAGTCCCGTCGAAATCGGCCCAGCCGTTTCGGAAATTACATATAGACAGATATTTTTTTTTTTTTTTATACCATAAGGTGGCAAACGAGCAAGCGGCCACCTGAAATCGCCAAAATGGCGAAGCGACCGCTGCCCATAGACATCCGCAATTCCAGATGCGTTGCCTACCCTTGTCCGACGGAGGAAGAGACGCACATAAAGAGGATATTTCCCCTTCCTATGCATCTCCTCCACTGTCAAATCCACTTCCTCTTCCCAACCTCTTCTTATAAGAAAAAAGTGGTAAAAAGAAAGGGACTTAAATTAGGCCTCCGGCACCACACTCATCAGACGAAACACGGAATTGCTTCCATTTCACGCCTGTCTTCTGTGTGGTCGTGGTATTACACCGGGCGTGCCGGCCCATTCGTGCTAAGATGTTAAAGCGGGCACTACCACTGTTAGAAAGTATTTTAAATGCGATTTTCGTTATCAGTATGCAAATACATCCCGAAATCTGGAATTTTTCTTTTGTTTATATTACAAACAGACATCAATTTTATTATATATAGCTGTTCCCGTACGGCTTCATCCGCATGAAGTTATAAAAACTTTATTTTATTGTTTACATCTGTCAAATTCTCAATTGCAAATGTCAAAATGACATGACATGACAAACGTTGGCAATCTTGCTTCCATGATGTTGGCAACAACTTATGGTCTCTTTCCCACATTAGGGTTTTTATCCAAAATGTTTACCTCTAAGTTTAATTGCGTGGAAATATATAGCCTAAAGCGTGACGTAACTATAGGGCTTTTTATTAAAAAAAGCATAATACAAAAATATGCTGTTATTGCTGACATCTTCGCAACAAAGAAGTGTGTGTTTACGCTTTATTATAATAGTATAGATTACCACCCGGATATGTGAAATAATTTCCAAGCAAACCTATCCATTTACACAGAGCAGTGGTATGTTATGATTGATGACAGGTAATTCCCCGCACAATATAACAAGTTTTTATATATTAATGATTATTTAATTACGAAACTAAATAAGTGTACACAATTACTGAGAATAACGTGATAAAAATATCCGATCACACATATGTTGAAAAACATTGGTTCATTTTCCTTTTGTTACACGGCTAAGGAATTAAATTAGCTTCCCATAGCTAGCGTCAGCGTTTGTTCTATCTCAACGCTTTTAACGCAGGTTACAAAAGCGTCCTTGCGAGTGTATTAAGGGCATTGACCCGTACTATTATAATTTAAATGCACCACAGTCAAAGAATTAAATTCGCTACCCACTCAGGATGGCATAAAAGGAAAATCTAAGACAGCAGCCACACTTTAGCACCACTGTTGTGCGATTGTCGATTGTCTTGCAGTCAATTCAACTGTTTAGTTGCACAAATAAAAATCGAGTAGTGTACCTCCATATAAGCTCTTAGGTATCAAAGCAAGACTCAACAGTGGTTCGATAGCAAGTCAAAGGTGTCCACACGCTTTTACACTATAAAAATAATAATATTTTTTTTTTCGAACTATCGCAATGTGTGTATCAAAATGACTTGGTCAACATGGGTAAAAAAATATTTCCTCGGTTATTCTTTTTTGCAAAACAATGTAAACTCTCACGTCCTTAACTATTTTAGCAGCAAGGTGATAATCATTTCCTTCACGTGATTTTAATTCAATTGGAATAATTTTAAAATTACCTACAATCACAAAAATGACACCCTATAACACTACGGGAAAGATGGGATTATTCCCAACCGTCAACCCGCTCTGTCCCCACGTGAGAAAAAGTTTCATCTGTCCCACCTCTTAGGCCTTATCACCAATAAGGTGAAAGATGTAACCGGTATGAAATAAGTTCCAACCGTTGCGTCGCAAAAAGTGGGACGGATGAAACTTTTTATTCTCACGGGGACAGAGCGGGGTGACGGTTGGGAATAATCCGGATGATGAGTCGATCTCGTCAAAATCGGTTTAGTATTATAGACTGAAGTCCTTACAATGGGAATTACATACAAATTATATACATAACAAATAACGGGCGAGAAATGTTACCCTCATTTGTCATTACTCGGGTAAAATTTTAAATATCGTTTGTAAACATTGATTAAATATGTAACATACCTTAAGTTTGTTCCTAAATTCTTCTAATAAATCTCTCACACATAAATTGTTTTACTATTTAATTATTAACAAATTAAAGTGAACACGTCCGCCTCCGAACGCAGAGACGCTCGACTGACGCCGGACACCGGCCAATTAATTAGCACTCTGTCACAACAAATCAAGTTTTGAATCCGACAGACTTGTTTGACCCGATGGATATCATTTAAAAACTATACATATAATAAAATTGTTGTGTCTGTTTGTAATATTAAAATGTATTTGCGACACTGATAACGAAATTTAAAAAAATATCTGTTTGTCCGCATGTCGCGTTTGTTCCGGGTAACTTCCGAAATGGCTGGGCCGATTTGGACGGGACTTTCACTAGAGGGTAACTGACAGGGATAGGCGTATTACAGGCATTTTTTAATTCCGCGCTATCAAAATGGCGTAACGGGTGGTCCAAATTTGAACTAACGAAGTTGGCGACAGCTCGTTAATTATAACAAAAATGGCGCAATCTTTGTCTTTCCCTAGTTTTACAGTAAGCCAGTAATAGCTATTTTCAAATTCAGGTAGTCTACAACTGGCGTCAGTGACACGTTACATGCTGCTACTGTACTGGCCAAATGTACAAGTAGGTTTACATTTTTCCTGATACAGTGCTATACCGTGATACCACTTACCGGGCCAGAACAGTTTGTCGCACTATACTGTTTGTTGTCCGCCATTTTGTGCACGTCACAGATGTTAAACATTTGTTAATGACCTTTTCATTTTTATTATACAACTTCAGATAGGTAAAACAAGATTTGATTTTTAATTTAAAGTTGTGTTTTTTTAAATAACATTGCACGCGACTTAATCCGTGTGGAATTGAAAACAACATTAGTTACTAGTATTTGCCCCTTGTGTAATTTAAAAAATCAAACAAAAAAATGGGACCCACCTGCAAGCATTACCTTTCGGATAATAAATGAATTATCAAAATCGGTCCACTAGCGGCGGAGTTATGCCGTAACACACATAAAAAAAAATAAAAAAAAAACATACAGACGAATTGAGTACCTCCTTCTTTTAGGAAGTCGGTCAAAAAAAAGAAGTGAATAGCCTATGTGTTCTTCCAGAATATGCTCTAAATGTATGTCAAATTTCATTTAGATCCTTTCAGAGGCTACAAAATCTAACAAACATGCATCCATCTTTTTGCAATTATGATATTAGTATGAAATATGATAATAATATTTCTCAGTAATAATTTACCTTTTTAATAGCGTTGACAATTTGGAAATCGAACCAGTATTTGTTTTTTATTCAAAGTAATTTAATACGATAAGATTCCACATCACATCTTTCTTTTTTTTTTTTTTTTTTTTTT